TATACAAATTGAATCATGCGAATTGCTGGCACTGTACCCTTGCTTACAGGGCTGCGGAGGGATTGATTTTGATAACTCCGACTCCGGCTTAAAAAAAAAAATCGCTCGGAGACCGGAGTCCGGTGTCCCCACTCCATCTCCGATCACGGCATCCCTCAGCCCGCATCGGAGTGAAAAACTTGTGATGTGATGCTTTTGTCTCTTTGAACGTTTCTTGGCACATTAAAAGATTACAATACCTACGAGGTGCAGCTCTGGACTGTCCGTCTTAGGTCCTCGACACGGGGAGCCAAAGCTCCAGTTGAAGGGGCGACACATCCAACAATTGGGCTGAAGATCTGTCCCAATCCCAATTCCCAAAGTCTCAAAGTGGGACAACAGCTTGCAGAGACCACACATTTTGTGTAGGATATTCGCAATAGTCAAGACCTTCAGCTCACTCTCAAACGGCCCTCTTCCTGTTCGAGGCCATCCGACAGCAGAACTCAGAAGGTCTCACTATGGCCTTTGAAAGCTTGATGCTTGAGGGTGAGAGGACCTCGTCCTGCGTCTCAGAGAGCCCAGGAGGATTTAAAGGGACCCTCCCACCTTCAAAAAAGTTTATGAATTGGCATGAAAGTGATGTCGCTCGGTTCAGAAACAGCGAAAACGAATATCTACCAAATTTCACCGAAAAATATTCACCGGTTTTCAAGATATTAGACTTTTACTTTTGTTTACTTTTTTGGGATATCCGCTGTTCCGAGCGACTTTATTTCATAGAAGTGCGGCGTTTGCGGCAGATGTTGCGCGCAAATAGCATATACCACAGCGTGCTACAAAACGTTTTAGTCAAACATTTAGAAATCGTTAGATATCTGCGCTGACGTCACACATTCAGAGGGGTATTCCTAAGCATTAGCCCCTCTGAATCAAAATGCTGCAATTTTGAAATTCAATATTTCCTATTTAAGGCATTTCTCGATGTTGTGAGTGCCGAAACCGGTAATTGTGAGCCAGGGACCCCATTTTGGCTATCTCAACTCAAATCTAATGTTAAGGTGGGAGGGTCCCTTTAAGTGAGTCAGGCTCCTGGCTACCCCTATTAGTGGCGGGGGGGGGGGCTGTTTACGACCCCCCCTGATATCTCGAGATCTAACGGGCCGATTTTCAAAATTCAAACGGCATTCGATTTCGCTCAACGTTATCTACATTTCTAAAAAATAAAAATTAAAAAATGTCAATAGGGGGGTAGAGGGGGGTAAAAACGGGCAAATTGCAGATACATTTTAGACTGTTTATCACGGCCAGGTTTCTGAACCAATCTTAACGCAACTTTTGCCGATCGATAGAAAATGAACCAGGAATTTCACATGGATCCTAAAAATATGCATTTTCAAAAATCATAGGCGGATACAGATCATTGAGAAATGAGATTGGGGGTAAACAAAAAGTATAGTAAATAAGGTTTTTGTTCGTACTGTTTCTAAAAAGGGTGGTAATGGTCTTGTTATGTTACAATTTTCTTATGAGAGAACGACTACAATTGTATTGGTCATGCATAGGCGGTGTCAGGGCACCTATGTTGGGAGGTAAAACATAACCCCCCTTTTTGGACGCCTGGATCCGCCTATTATAGCAAAAACGTGTCAAAAGAGGATGCACAATAACTTTGTATATGTTATCACATGATACCTTTCATTCACTGTTCGTAAAACTGGTGCATACAGTTATAATACATCAGCATCGTGCCATCTTCGCCCAAATGACTCGCTTCACGAATAGGACCCCCCAATTCCCAGTGCCCTGGAGCCGCCCCTGGTAAAGTTATGAACTTGAAATTTTCAGGGAATGTGCCCAATTTAGTTTTAGGAAAAGTCAGAAAATTTCAGCATCGTAGCTTCAGCGGTTTCGGAGATATTCCCGAAAAACCTGAGGGGTGGATGAAAACAACCCCCCTGCCACTAATAGGGTTAACCCGCGCCCCACGGGGAGGGGGGGCTATTCATAGCCCCCTCCCGTTTTTCTGCAATAACTTCCAAACCACTTGACGTATCGACGCCAAACTTTCAGTACCTTCGGCTGCATCAATTTGACACCTCATGTCAAAATTTTAACTTCGCAGCTACCATAGGTCGGCCGGAAATGACGTCAGAGTGACGTCATGTTCGGCCGATTTCGACACAAAACATTGAACCACGGCAATCGCTCCCAAGAGCTCAGTTTTTAAGCTAGATCCAATTTCTTTGCATGAAAGGACTCAGAATTGACTGCGCCATCAAACTGCTATCTCGGAATTTCAAAATTTTGAAAATTTCGAAAATTTTATATAATAATATTCCAAATTTATATTTTTATATTTTTTTTTTTAATTGACTTTTCGAAAAAAATCACTCGGTCAGTCGGTGTAGCTATGGTAGAAATTGAAACCTTTTATGAGGTAAGGTCACTTGAAGTGACCTAGTGACCTGACCTTGAATGATCTTGGTTTGAAATGTTCACAACATGTGTAGAATTGATGCATGATAAGGTGTGTGCGCCGCCGTTTTTGACATATTCGCGAAAAACCACGGGGGGGAGGTTCAACCCCTCCCCCCAGCAGGGCGCGGGTTAATGGTCGCGGCCATCATTGAATCACACGTTGCACCATATAGCTAATGCTACGGTAGTTCATAACCGAAGGTTTGTTGTCAATAGTTAAAACACTATTCTTTAGAATTGTATTTTTCTATTGAAAAACAAATCTGAGTTCCCTGACAATTTGGCAAAAGCTGCCTGAGATCAGTACAACTTGATGCTCGAGAAAACGGTTGTTCCAAAAATTCTGATTTTTTTTTTAGGATTTCTAGTGGGCCAGGTGATCTGCGTTCTGGTGTGGGTCTCCCCTCCGCGGGCAATCTGGTGCACGTGTCACGTGACTTTGAAAATTCCCGTGTTAACCCGCGAGTTGCTGGGGGGGGGGGGCGTTAAACGCCCCCACTTTTTTCGCCGGGCCATAGCATAAAAACGGCGCGCCGCAGGCGCGCCAAATTTTGGGTACCTGTAGGGAATTGATTGAAGTTTATTGTGACAAAGTTTCAAAAAAATCGGTCGGAAAATTTTTGAGATATCGAGGTTTTAGTGACGTCATGATTTCTGAGTTTTCGACCAAAAACGGCATATGTTCAAAAAATCATATAAAATCACAGAATAGACATAAAGACATGCCATAAACGCCATTAGACTGCCAATACCATGATCGATCAAATGGCTATCTTCGATTATTGATTATCGTTCCGCATTTTCCATAATCTTGAACTGAATCTTGGCAATTTTTCGTGACTACTTCACGACCATGATACATGAATTTATTAAATTGAACTTTTTGACCCAAACACGTACACATATGATTAAATGAATGTCACCATCGTGTTCTACGCCCCAAATTACCTATAAAACATGTGTCACAGGCTGCGAATATCAGTTTTGATTTTCGGGCATATGTGCCTACCCGGTTGACCTGACCTTGACCCTGACCTATGCTTGACTGACCCCTACATGGAGCTGACACTCTTGTAGGCCTTATAAGATGGATTGTGCACCGTTTTGACAGAGTTTATGGCGAGAGGCGCCCATTGCGAAGTCCTGAAGTCCATGCTACTGAAAGCCCGATTTCAGGTGTTTGACCTGACCTTGACCCGACCTGTGACCTCAAAATTCAACTTTAAAGTACTCATCTGAAGCATCTCGTCGCGTTCTTTCGTTTGCCGCCTCGTGCGTTTCGCTGCGCCTGTTGGTTCTCGAGTTATCGGCTGGGGGCGTTTAACGCCCCCCCCCCCCCCCAGCAAACGGTGGGTGGCGAAATACCCCAGCAACTGCCGGGTTAAGCCAATGGGCAAACTGAAAATATCTTGCTACGATGAAGTTTGGGGGGGGGGGGCTGGAATCCCCGTGGCACCTTGGTCCACGAGGATGCACGTCCACGTCCACGTCCCTGCTATTCACATATGGACCAGTGAAGCTCAGTACACGCCAAGTCTCGGCTGTGGGTAAGCCGTTTGGCATGGTCGGTCCGGCGCGGGGTCCGTTTTCCGTCTGTTTCGCAGCTGCTCCGACTGGTTTGTGAATCAGGGCCGCCACGGCCGCGAGTCGTGTGTGTACATATGCCTACATAGTCCGTTCTCACTGGAGCCGTCTCAGCTGCTGCCGCCACGGACCCCACCCTGCAGCGGAGCCGCGCGCAAAGGGAATGTAAACCACCTACCTATAGTGACGTTGTAGCCCATGAAGGATGAAGGGATGAAAATTACTTATCAATTTCTGGACCTTTCCGGAGACAGGTCGGCACTGGGCATGGCCTAAGACTCCTATGGGAAGAAACTCGGATCATGAAGTCGTTGATCTTGAGATGATATTCGGTATTTTCGGTTATCTTTGTTAGTTAGCGCGTTCACGTACGGCATCTACTATTCGATGTAGACCAATGAGTGTGGGCCTCGAATAGATGTCATCTGGGATGTGAAGCACACGCCGCCTCAGGTACGTTTAAACTTGCCTTTTCGAGGTGTTTTATTTGACATAGGTATTTTGTTTTTCTTCCTCGGCTACACCTCACACGGGAGGATGAACTTAAGCGTCCTCAGTTGCTCACTGCTCAGAGTGGTAGTGATGGGAATCCACAACAGGCTCAACATTGACTAAAACAGTACTTTGCACTTTTGCAAGCGATTTGTGATTCCACATTGCGACTGTGGTAGACGGTTAACGGTGTCACGGACGGACTTCACCAGGCCGGTTAGCGATGGTACCGGCACGACATCCCTCCAGTTTACACGTCCCAGCTGGCAGGGCTCCCGCCCCTCCAGCTCCCGCCCCTCCAGCTCCCGCCGATCCAGCTCCCGCCCCTCCAGCTCCCAGCTCACAGGGCTCCCGCTGTCCCCTCCAGCTCCCGCCCCTCCAGTTCCTAGCTCATGGAGGGCTCCCGCTGTCTCCGCAGCTCCCCGCCCCAGCCGGCGGCGCTCCCGCCGCGGCGCGGCACCTACCGGTCGTCGCCAATCATGGTTTGCAGCTCCACCGGGTCGTCGTATTTCCGGGAGTGTCTCAGTCGTTCCCAGGCGGTCCACGGTGCCCGCGGCATGGCTCGGCTCGGCCGGACGGACACGGAAGGGACGCTCGGCTCCGGCGGACCCGCGCTCACCTCTCACACATGGCACCTCTCGCCCGTCACCGCTATCCGCCGATGTAGCGCCGCTGTCACTGTCACTGTCACCGCGGAAAGCACGGCCACTGCACCTCACATCGCGTCCGGCGGCGGCGAGCGGGTCAATCAGCGAGCCGCCGCGCCCGGCTGCTGCTGCTCACTGGGGCTCTGTCGGGCACACGGGGCTCGGCGCGCTCCCCGCCCGAGGCGACAGGTGCTCGGCGCGCCGACTCCACTGGGGAGCGGCGCGGACGGGCTCCGCGGTAACCGGGCGCCGCCGGCCCGTACCGCCGCGCCGTGGCTCACTTTCACGGGCCTCACGCCGCGCCGAGCTGCTGGTCGGCGGACCGGACCGGCACTGCGCTCCCCGCGCGTCCCACTGCTGGGCCGGAAAACGGGCCCGCACTGCCGGCACTGAAGCGGTAAACGGTGAACGCTCCCCGCGCGTCCCACTGCACTGGGCCGGAAAACGGGCCCGCACTGCCGCCACTGGAGCGGTCAACGGCGAACGCTTCACGCCGGCCGCCGCGCCGCGCCGCGCCGGTCGGAGTCGCGGTGCCGCGCCTGCAGTGGTCGCGGCCGGCGCTGAGCGGCCACTGCAGGCCGCGCTGTGGCAGCGGCGACCGACGCGCTGCAGGCCCGCGCGGCCGGCAGAGGCGGCCGCTGCAGGCCGCCTCTGCCGGCCGCTCATCTGATGGTGAGCGGTCCGGCCGTGTCGGAGAGCGGCAGACCGGTTCTCCATGTGTGTCGGCGTGCGGTGCGTACCGTGCAGACAGCAGCGGCGTGTGGGAGCGGGCGGGGCACTGGCTGCGGGGGACGGCGCGGTGCGTAGCGTACCGTGCCGACATGCAGCGGCGGTGTGTGAGAACGGGCCCTGGGCGGGGTGGGCGCGCTGTGTATCCGACAGCCAGGCACTGCCTCCGTCCATTGTTCGACGCCCCGGCTCAATCCGCTCTCGGAAGCGTAGGCCGCGACAATGAATATGGTAATCCGTTCACCATGCACATTCCGCGGATGATGAATTGTAAATAAGGTGAGTCAGCTATGCATGAACGAGTGGGCATGCTGTGCACGCCGTCAATACTGCAGTACATTCAAGCAACGACGGAAACTGCCAACGGGAACGAAACTGCTGCTTTCAAGACTACACACTCATGTCGAATAGTTTAAAGACTGTCACAGCATATTAATTCCTTGAAAGGTGGCTGATTCGATGGCAGTTTGATTGCTTGTTAACCCGCGCCCCGCTGGGCGCTGGGGCTCCTGGATCTCTCAACCGTCTCTCGTGTAGGGGGGGGGGGGGTCGAACGGACTACCCCCTCGGTTTTTCGCGAATCACTCACGTAAAAAGCGGCCGATCGCGACGAAACTTTCAGTACACTCGCATTAAAGTGACCATTCCACCTTAGCATTAGTTTTGAGTTGAGATAGCCAAAATCGGGTCCCTGGCTTGCACTTACCGGTTTGACTTTGAGCTCTCTCAAGATCGAGAAATGCCTCAAATAGAAAATATCTAATTTCAAAGTTTCAGCACTTTGATTCAGAGGGGCTAATGCATTAGAATGCCCCCTCTGAGTGTGTGACGTCAACGCATATCTGACGATTTTAAATCTTTTACTAAAACGTCTGGTAGCACGCGGTGGTAAATGCTGCTTTGCGCGCAACAAGTGCCGCACTTTCAGCTGTCAAATTACCTATTGCTTCCAAATAAAGTCGCTATAGGAACAGCATAGATCCAAAAAAGTAAACAAAAGTAAAAGTGTAATATCTGAAAAGCGGTGAATATTTTTCGATGAAATTTTGTAAATATTTGTTTTTGCTCTTTCTGAACCTAGCGACATCACTTTCGTGCCAATTCATTAACTTTTTTGCAGCTGGGAGGGTCCCTTTAATACACCTACCCTAAAAATTTCATGACCCTGACTTCAATGACCTTTAACCTGTAGGTAACCTATTTCTCGAGACCATGTTTGGCCGGAATCGCGATTCGGCATATGTCGGTTCGCATTAGCCGCGCGTTTGTAATCTTTTCATTATACGGAGCGAGCGAAGCGAGCGTAGTCTTTCGTAGGTTAACAGAAATTTTTGAGTATGAGCGGCCGGCCGGCCGTGGTCACGCTTTTGCGAAGCTTATATCTCCCCAACCACTTGACCGATTTACATGCGGTAATTTATGTACATACGGTAGCTTCATTCCTTCTACCAAGTATTTGACTATTCCCCATGCATGTGTGTAACCTCTTACGCACGTGCCACGTGCCAAACGAAGAGTTGTCAGTTTTGTAACAATTGCAATATCCCGGTAACTACTGGACTGATTGCGCTGAAAGTTGGCATGTGCGAGTAGGTAGTCACCCACTAGGCAGTGCATATCCATGTGCCACAGTTGGGGTGCTGCTGCACGTGCGCACGTGCAGGGGTCGATTCCAGATCTCGAGAACGGCTAAACCGATTGCGCTCAAATTTGGTACATGGTTAGGGACCGCCGTTAGTAGTGTGCCATTCAAAAGTCAGTTAGAACCCAATTTGCACGTGCGCACGTGCAGGGTGCCGCTTCCAGATCTCAAGAACGACTAGGCAAATTGCGCTCAAATTTGGCACATCGCTAGAGACCAGTTAGTGGGGTGCAGTGCACAAGTTAGTAAGGGGTACCCCGTCGCAATTTTGCACGTGCAAGGCCCACTCTCTCGCTCGCTCAGTTGGTCGCCCCAAAAGGCGTTTTACTGGTGGCACAGTCCACCGCATAAGTAGGGGAGAACGAGGTGAGTTGTATCAGTTTTTACTCTAGGTCAAATTTCTCCTTAGATTTAACAAGGAGAATGACCGTTGCTATACCAAAGGAAAGCTTCAACGTTTGTCTACATACACTCTCCTGCGCGTTACGCTAAGGTTTCTTATCTTGCCTACACCTCGCTTTAAATGGGACCACTTCAATTGATACAATTCGCCTCACTAGTGAGGTAAGTTGTACCGCACGGTGGGTAAAGATGTATCAACGGTTTATGATTAGAAAGTGTGACGTTGTATATACACTTCTACACAGTCCAGAGAACAAGAAAAGTATCCTGAATAGCGACGTCCAGCTCCAGCCAGCAGATCAACGATTTCTTGGTGTCGCTGAAGGGTACGGATGACCCTATAGCAAAATCATTGAACCATTTCTTCAATATAAGCGCATAACGCGATCTGTTTGTCCGAAACTAAATGTATTATCACCGTATCACTGTAGTATCACTGCTATCACTGATATCACTGATATCACTGATATCACTGACATCACTGTTGTAGTATCACTGATACAACATTCCCCACCACACTCTGATACAACTTGTCCAAGTGCGTCATTTCAAGAGAAGGTCTATGAAACGCTATACGCCATGTTTCGTTGCGCGAAACGAATTATGTTGTGATTAAGAGCAATGTTGACTCTCACTTATAGTGGTAAAACAATAGAAAGCTCTCAACATATAAAAGCCAAAAACATATATTTCCTAAAGAACGCATTTCTTACTAAGGACCCATCAAAACACATTTTCGTTACTCGCCCGAAAACGCGTCCACTCTTGTTGACGGCACAACACGGAAAGACGGCGCGCAACGCGGCGTCCCGAACAGTGGCGTCAAGTCTGCGATCTGGCGGATAGTTTTGGCGAAATTCGCTCTGATACTACTTGTCCATGATACAACTCACCCCGCTCTCCCCTAATGTGCGGTTTCAGTCGTGGTTATGGTTTGCTTTTGTATCTTAGGTATGATGTGCCAGACAACAATGAAACTTGAAATGTAGCTTACATGTATCGTCTTGTTTGCAGCTGCAAGTTTATCGTTTGCTTTATGCCTATACTCCTGAATCACTCCGTTTTTAAAAATCGTCAGTCAAAGCCATCTATTATTGAGATTGGTGGTAAACTGCACCTTGCTTCAGCGGTGGGCTGTACATGTTTCTAGGCTAGTGTTTGCAGCTGAATTCGAATTTACCAACATTTGAACATTAACGAAATAGTTTGGGTGCCTTCGTAACACGTTACGAAGCTCTCAAAAGCTAAAGTTTAAGCTAGATTCGATTTTTTGCATGAGTGGACTGATAATACACTATCAATCTGCTATCTCTGATTTTCAAAATCTTGAGCATTTTTGAAAATATACTTATACAATTACAATTATATATATTTTGTTTTTTTTTTCAAAGACTTTTTGTCTTTTCGACAAAACCGGAATACTTTTGGTAGTACATCCACTGATGAACTACTGCAGAAAGATGTAGTCCAATATCCTCAAAAATGGCTGAGTTATACGCATTATAGTCAAAATCTAACAAATTTATATTTTTTCAAATCCATTTTTCAGTACGTTTTTTGACGTCGCACAGTTAAGGCTGAAACAGACTCCGCGTTCAGGAAATCGCACGCGAGAGGCTATTCAAATGCATTATAATTCTTCCCGCATCAATCGCATCCGGGAGGTGCGTGCGATTGATGCGAGCGTGCTTCCATGTATTTGAATAGGCTCTCGCATGCGATTTCCTGACTGCGGAAGAGTCTGTTTCAGGCATAATACAAAGATCGTGTACATCGTGTTACGGAGCTTAACCCGCGCGGGGCTGGGGTCTCCAGCCGAACGCGCGGGGCTGGGGGGGGGGGTAAATTTTACCCCCCCCCCCCTGTTATCTCCCGAACTAATGGTCCGATTTGGAAAATTCAAACGCCAATCGAAAGCTCTCATCACGAACAACTAAAAACATGTACTTAATTTAAAGTTTGAGGTCAAGGTCAAGGTCAGGTCAAGGGTACAAATTGCAAGTTTCTACAGTATCGGCCTTGCACCGTAGTTGCCGAAGAATGGAGTCATGGACTGAGACTGATTGCCCAAAACGTGTTCTTCGGCTACCAAAATAATATTATTTGCATACAATATCATTCAGAGGTCAAGGTTAAGGTCAGGTCAGGTCAGGTCAGGTCAGGTCACCAAAAAACAAAATATAGAAAAGGGCATGTGCGACACATGTTTTATGGGTCATTTTACTCATAGAATTCAATAGGCACACTCAATAAGTGATGTGGACCACCTCTGGATGAATTCCAGGTCGAGGTCAGGTCAAGGTCAGGTCAAGTGAGGTCAAATTTTGAAGTTGGTTGTTAAGGCCTAAAAAGGTGTCTATCTGATGCAGTTTTTCACGGCGAATCGAATGGTGCTTTTTTTGTTTCCGTACGAGGTCTAGAACTTCCAAAAAAATCATTTTTTTCAAAAATTTTGTGTGTCGTGACGTCATGAAATTTTGAATAACTCCCACATTTTTCGACCGATTCTTCTAAAAATTGGTATGTAGGTGGACATAGAACACTTCTCTGACATATATTCCGGTTTTTTCGATA